ATAAAAGTAAAAAATAATTGTACAAGATTAAAATATTCTTATTCAATACGTATTGGGAATGAAAGGAATATAAAAAACACTTAGTCTCTACCAAATTTAATGCACTGAAAAATTAAGGATAAATTTAGAAGAAAAATATTAATTATGCTTTGATTTCATTAAACGATAGATATTATGGAATAAAAAAAATTATGTAAAATGACAAATATTTAAGAACGGGGAGAGAGTATTTTATAAAAATATTATTCTTAATTTAGAAATCTAATTAATTATAACAAGTAAACTTTATTTTAAAACCGGGGAGAGAGAGAAAGAAAAGAGGAAAGCATGGTTGTCTAGTCGCGCCATGTGACAGATACAATCTTCTTCTACTCCCTCATTGAAGGCTTCCCAGTTCCCATAGTTTTACTGCCCTTTTACGCACAACTATAAATCGCAGTCATATCCTTTCTCTCTCCGCCCTCTCTCACTCTTTCTCCTCTGTTAACTCTAGATCCAAAATTTAGGCTCTACGCCTTTGAAGCCCCATTAGATCTTCAAAAGCAACACAGATTTCAGTACATGGCTCCACTTCAACACTTCAGTTGCAGAAAGGTACCCCTCTTTTATCTTCTTTTCTTTGTCTTCACTTCCATCTTCTCTTCTGCCTACACAGAAACCCAACCATTAAGTAATGTCTTTTCTGGAAGAAGAGTTCTGTTAGAGGTACAGAAGGAAGATCAGACAATAATTAAGAAGAAATCCACTACACTCTCCACCAAAAACCAAACCAAACTCATCAAACCCACCACAACTAGTTCAACCAAAAACCAAACCAAACTGTTCAAACCCACCTCCATTAATGTATCCAAAAACAAAACCAAACTCATCAAACCCACCGCAGATTCAACCAAAGAAAGTTCCACCATGAAAACCCAGTTCAAAAGGCTCAACTCCACCTCAAAGCCCTCAAATTCAAACAAATCCAGTACACTTGTCACAATGAAATCCTCAGATCTGGTTAAACCAAGCACACCCAAGAACAAAACAACCAAACCCATCACCAAAAAACTAAACCAATCCCAAACAGACAAGAAGCTCAGTAGTGAACTCCAATCCAAAACCCAGGTCACAGACAAAAAAACGAAGCCTCAAAAGACCCCAAAACAACCAAGTTGGATTGATAAAGAAGATGAAGATGATTTAGTTTCAGAATTCAGAGATCTACCCTCCAAATTTCAAGAAACTTTCTTGCCCGATATGGAGAGAATTTCCAAAAGCTCCAAGATTTATCTCACAAAAGCCAACAAAGAGATCACAAAAGGGTTCAAACCTATAGTGGGTAATAAATATGCACCTACCATTGCCTCCGTAGTCTCATTTGCCTTCATTTTAATCCCTCTCATTCTAGTCTCTCTCATATTCAATCGTATCAAAGCCTATTTCTCTCTCCAAAAGCTCTTGATCTTCATCCAAGTTTATCTCTCTATATACTTCTCTATCCTCTGCCTATCTTCACTGGTCACTGGCCTCGAGCCTCTAAGGTTTTTCTACGCTACTTCGCAGTCCACATACATCTGTGTGCAGGTGTTCCAAACCCTTGCTTATGTGTTGTACCTTCTGCTTCTGTTGATGTACCTGGTTCTGGTGTTCTCCACTGAGACTGGGCTGGTCTCTAAGTTGTTGGGCCTGGGCCAGACTTTCGTGGGCTTTTCTGTTGGGCTCCATTACTACATGACGGTGTTTCACAGGGCTGTGCTGCGTCAACCGCCCAAGACCAGTTGGAGAGTTGACGCCATTTATGCCACGTGTTTCTTGGTGATTTGTCTGTTAGGTACGGCTGAGAGAAGGAAGAAGGCTTACTTGGAAGAAGGTGGTGAGGAGGGCAAAAAGAGCTAAAATGTTTTCGTAATTTTTTTTTTATATTTTTTTATGGGTTATAAATTTTAGTTAAGAAGCGTTAAAGTTCGCTTTTTAACTTATTTTACTCTTTTTTTTTCAATTTACTGTTTGTAATTCATTATTATTTTAATAAATTATGGGAATTAATTTATCATATTTTTCTCACTTTATTGTCACAAGTATCTCATTTTCAATTGTGTGTGAACTTAATATTTTGAATCGACTTTAATAAGAAAATATCATCATAAATACATATTTTGAATTTTTAAATTAATATTTATTTTATGGTAAATAAATAAATACATTTGAATTTCCAAATTCTCTTTGAATGGTAAAGATTCATCCACGTCAGCACATTTAATACATTTGATATTTTAAAATTTCAAACTTATTTATTTCATTTAGGCTTTTAAATGTAAATGTGTGATAAAAATATGTTGTCTAGATTCTTCCCTAAACTACTAACTTCTTGTCAATTAATTCTTTTTGTTAATTTTAATTGTTAGAATAAACAGAAACACATGATGTGGACGGACAAATACTTGAGCTTGTTTCAGTTTGTTAAATGAACAAAAAGAATTTTTTAGAATAAAATTAATAATTGAGTGAGTAAATTAAAATAATTAGACGTTCATGTACCATTTTAAAACTAGAGATAAAAATTTAAGGATTAATTATAATACTTATAATATAAAATATAATAAATTTATTCGACGGATACAACTAAATTCATTGGATACCTACTAACAATTTTTCTCAAACACAATTCACGTTGTACAGTGCTTCGGGGTCAGTCTCCATCAACAGTGGCTAGTGGCCCCTTGAAATAGTCCAAAACCATATTTGGTATTCGAGTCTAATTATTCAATTTCAGTTCAAATTCAAGTCGATCCCTTAACAAGTTAAACTTGAATAATAACAAGCCTATAAGATTCAGTTTGAGATCGTAAAATTTAATTCGTTTATATGTGAACTTGACTCATTTGAGATTCAGTTCGAATTCGATTTATTTTTTTAAACAAATCAAATTTAAACATTTTTTTAAACTTGTTAAAAAAAAAATAAAATTCGGCAAAGCTGAGTTGAATTATCAATTCTACCTATAACTGTAGAGCGTGATCTACACAAGAAAGTGAAGGAAGTGAAGAGGTCGAGGTTATTTATGTCACATTAAATTTAGGCTACCGACGGTTCGGATCTTGTGTCGGTGCTTATGCTTTAAGACAAAGAAACGTAACAATCACGCACAGCTGTATGGCGCTTAGCTATTTATTACTGTGAATTTTTTGAAAAAGAATTATTTACCAAAAAAAAAAACTTTGAAAAATAATTGATTAACAGCAATAAATATTGGTTTAAATAATAAGATAAGAATAAAAAAAATAAAATAAAAAACTTTAGGGAGAATTACACCTAAATCCCCTGAGATTTGTCACTTATCACTCAGACCCCTTGACATTTGAAATATTACATATTGACTCTTTAAAGTTTGTACGCGCATAACACTTAGACCCCTGTTGTAAATATATTCATTAATAAATTACACTTAGATTCATTTGAAATTTATAGGTATATAATACTGAGATCCCTTAAGTTTAAATCTTATAATTAGACAAAAAATACTCCAATCAAAGATAAAATATCAAATATTTTAAATTTTACGATTAAAGTTCGTATTCTATTTATCTTTTATTGAAATAAAATAAAAAGTAAAAATTTAATTTTTTTCTTAAAAAATCATACTTAGTATACAATTATATTATCTTAGAGATTTGTCACTTAATCGTAACTTTAAATTGAAGGTTTTATAGCGTATGGTAAGATCTAGCACGTCCTAATCATCCGATTTATCATCTGATTGACAATGAATTCGAAGGTTCAATTCAATTAAGTGTACAAATATGTACTATAAAGCATGATTGCAACCCTGCATGTCAAAACATTCTATTTTAGGTGATGGTGGGCATGGTTTGGCCATGCTAAATTTTGGGTAGGTGGCTATACTTTGTCGAGTGATAGCTGCATTATATAAGTTCGAGAAGTACCCATCAAGCTTTATTTCTTGTTATTCAATATCGGTATACGTATATTAGCAATGACTCATGCAATATATGGGATTTATGTCTCCTCTATCACATCCTATGTTTCAATGTTCTCTCACTCTCTGACCATCTTTATCTGATCCTACTAAACTTCCCTTTTATCCCATCTTGCTGTACCGTTTAATTTGTCAAGTATGATTAAAGAGGAAGTTGAAAAGTTAAGAGAGAAAATTATGAAATATAACGATTAAAGATCTGAGTGTTACGAAAATACTAAAAAATTAAAAATATATATTAAAAATAAGGATGAGAGTTTGAAGATCATCAAAACCTTCTTACATTGCTATAGTATATAAGATGAGTCTTCAAATATGCTCCCGTCTATTTATTAGGGTAGTTTGAATGAAAACGTTATACGAATTAATAACTCCAAATTTAAAATTCAATTTTTAGAACATCTTGATTTACTCAATACTCACAAATTATGGGTAATTTTGTATGTCTAAAATGTTGTAAACATGTAATATAGTATGCAACCAAGACAAAAAAGCAATTACATACAATGCACACGGGATTTACATGCAGAAAATTTACTTACATCCATAAGAACAATTGTTTCACTATATTAGAATCCTGTTTTGTTTGTTGTGTTGCACTTTCCTTGGCTCCGTCTACTAGCTCACTGTCTTTTGAATTTAAGAAATATGAGTAACCCAGTATTTTTAAATAAATTTTTCCTCCTCGATCGTCTCTCTTTACTAATGAGAGGCTCCATTGTCAAGATGTTTTGTATCAATTTCCCCCTTGCTCAAACAATTTAAAAATTTTATACAATACTAGATCAATAAATAAAACAATAAACAAAATCATACAATGCCCATTAAATAGGTTATTTGTGTCTATTACTAATCCGACTCGTTTATAATTCATGATAATTGATCATGTTATTATTAAGTATTTAGGACGAATAAAACTCCAGCATTTACATTTAGATTGTAATCTAAAACCAAACCAAAATAGGCCTAAAATTTTCAACAAAACTAGGCCTTATGGTCTTAGAATAATCACATGAATGCCTCAGTGGCCCTGCTGAAGTTGATTAACCAATGCTAATGCATTACTGATGACTTGTGCAGCAGGTTCAACATGTCCCCTTATTGCACTCTTAATAGAACCATTCAAAGCAGTGGGCTCATCAGAATCTTCATAACAATCACTATAATTTGTTAGGGCAGCACTGACCCAAGTTTGAACATTGCTTTTATGCCACAAAAAGTCTCCACCTTGGTCCTGACCCATTTTTCTGAGCTCCGGGACCGACTGCGTCAGTTGGTCCAGGCCATCGCCCATTCCGTCGAAACAGTCCTTTAGAGCTGCATGCTCATTGGCACTCAGGCCTTTGCCGTTGGTCATCTGCGACACGAATGTCTTCGCTTGCTTGATCTTGGCTATGCCTGCGGACAATGTGGTCTCGGCCAACGCCTGTAGGCTTGGTTGGGGATCGGTAGCGTGGGCTTGGAGAGTTTCGACACACACAGCAGGATATCTTGTGGCTTTGCATGCTTCCTCGATTGAGGTTGTCGTGGTGGCAATGGCCGTGCCGGCAATGTACAAAAGAGAAAGAGTTAGGGATGAAAATGCAAGGTCAAATCTAGCCATGTTTTTTTTTATTTGGATATAAAAGGGTTTATATGTGATTAGTATATTTATAGGGAGTGAGAGGTCATCACATATGCCTATTTTTGGCCCATTCTAAATTGGGATTAGCCTTACTATTAGCCTGAAAAATTGGTATTTTGATTAATTCTAAAGAAACTGTGTTCAAATTAGTGGACGACACCATCTTCAACATTACGTTCTCCAAAGCTAGATAAAGAGAGGATTTTACAAAACTTTACAATTACACTGCACTAACGGTCCAATCATACTCGGAGTAATGTCATACCATGGATCCAATGAGAAATCTCGACAGTGGCATTATTTATAATTAATCCAGACTAGCCCCTACGATAAACATTTGAATTCAGAACCTCCTACTCTTTTCTCATTTGAATATTGCCCTTAATTTTAAGGCTATGCCAGCCTCCATCAACCACCCTGACTCAGAATTAGCCTGCAATTCTTGAACCTATGGATCACTACGAGAAAGAAATCGGAAGAAAACCTCCTGCAGTATCGACCCTATCTTTGGCTCCCACTCCCATGAACCAAATAGTGTCATACGTTCCACCATAGCCATTCGATCCTTATATACTTCTTGCTTTTTATTTATATCTCTTTCTCACCCCCGCCCCTCCTTTTCTCTCTCTCACTACATTGTTAATTTGGATGTATTGAGAAAAATATGATTCATTACATTCATTATATTGTTCATGCTTGCCCCGACCATGATAAGTTTTTGCTTACCTCCGCACCCGGCTGAAATGCATATCTTTGTGTTTGGTCATTAGATTTTCAAACAATTTTATTTCAATAGCATACGTAATCATTCGTAAACCATGCACATATGTAATTAACAGCATATATAATGCCAAGCCAAAAACTGTACATCCGAATTCTTCGAGTGAAAGCAACTTGTGCCTGCATTTTCCAAGCATTGAAGCATGTCCTCCATTTTTCAGGCAAAGAAGAAAGACAACTCTCGTATATATTTCCCTTCAGATGGTGAATTACTCACTGAGTAAGATAGGAACTCAACGACACGAAAAAAATGGGCTAGGATTAAATAGTTCTTGCTGCAACCAAGTAAAATACATAGTTCAATTTTGACACGACAAATCTATTTAATTAATATTTTACCAAAAAAACTCTTATTTTTAAAATTTAATTTCTTATTTCTCGATTTATTATTACATACACTGCTACAGTACTACTCTAGATTTTAACTTTTTTTTTTACCTTATTTCAGTCACTAACATTTATATTAAATCGACTTTTTTACTTTATGGATTAATGGTTTGTTTGAGAAAGAAGTCAAAAAGTCTTCAAAATTTTGGTCTATGGGTTATGAAATTTGGTATGTCAAATTATCACAATACTTTCTCAATCATAACAAATTTGATTGGTAAGTAGGTTAAAGTGGGTTAACACTCATATGCATAGGCCAATAAGACAATGAGTCACATAAAACCCTTGTTTGGAAAGTAAAAATTGAGCGAGGATATAAATCTTGGGTCAAACTTTGACCCGAGTGCTACAGTGTTTTTTGTCCGAGCTACACGGGTTGAATGTAATTCATCTCCCCCTTGAGTTACAACCTAGCCGAGAGGATAAGAGATGCAATGACATTTTTACCCTGCATAGACAAACGTTCCTACCCTTTTCACTTCATCCAACCATTCGTCAAAAGGATCCTTGGCGGAGAAGTACACTGGCAACGGCGACAATGAAGGCGAAGGGGAAGCTTCTAGGAGGTCTCTCGCTCTTTCTGTTCTCCTACGAAGGTCAGTGGTACATGTGTTCCTCATCTCCGACGAATAGGTCTCTTTCCTTTCCCCCCTCTCTCTTTCAATCTGTATCAGTTAAGGTCTACTAATTGGAGGGATACTCTGTTCGGTGTCATGGGTCCTGAGCCTCTTGATCCTCTAAAGTTTCCTAAGGTCTGCAAGATTGTTGGGTCTGTTAAGATGGTTT